ATATGGGTGACTTGAGCTGCATCATAGTCTCTGCAATGGTCTTGATATGTCAAGATCCACCACCAATTATGCTATGCCCTTACCATTGTTAAGAAGTAAAAGAGAAGAGAAGCGACCCGACATACTGACCGTCAAGGACGAGTGGCCTACAAAATGGGAGTCAGAGAAGGGCAGACTGTAGGATTCAAAATAAGGGTTAGGGACGTAGCCAACGGGTGGGGTACATGTCAATAAGCAACTTGGGATTATAAAATCCCATTATATTTGTGTTTGGCCCCACGGCGGGTTGTTCCTAGACTCAAGTGTTTAAACACACTTGGGGACGGGGATATGAGACCGGGCGGGACTGAACATCTAGATGGGGGGTAAAGAGAAACAAAGACATCACCAATTATCAATTGGAGATAGTAGTAATGTGACTGACTTAAGTTCAGAAGCACAGGAGAGAATTCTGAACCTTACAGCCCCTGTAACCGATGTGTGGTGTGCGTGTGCCAGTAAAGGCAGTATAAGGCAGAGAATGCCAAAAGGGTGGCTAGATACGTGCGCCCTGGTTCTACTGATTCAGCTAGTTAGAATTAGTCACCAGGAACCAAGGAAAGGGTTAAACAGACATAGGAGGAGTTTTAAGAAGAAGGAGAATAGCCCTATTTAGATGGATGCGATTGGGATACCTAGGGGGGTATCGGATGGATACCAAGCTATGAAACAATTAGGGGAAGGGTTTACAAACACGTTCTTTTGGTGGGTGACAATAAACAAAATTGTGGATTGGATTAATTATATCTATTACGACCAACAACGATTTATTGGCCAGACTAGGGATGCAGTAAAAGGGATCTCTGAACAATTATCCGCCATCTCACTCATGACTTAGGAAAAGAGGTTGGCTCTAGATCAGGCAGAAAGGCGCGGTGTCTATAGAATGGTGGGCCATTGTTGCACATTTATCCCTAACAACACCGCACCGGATGGGACGGTCACCAGAGCTCTTGCAGAATTAACTGCTCTAAGTGAAGAATGGGCTGAGAACTCAGGAGTTAGTACATCTTGGATAGGGTGGTTTGATGAAATGTTTGGTAAATGGAAAAACCATAGCAGCCACCATCTTGGGGCAGCCAGTGTTTATATGGGTATTCTTGTATTATGTGGTTGTTGTCTTGTTCCCCGTGTCCGAGGGTTGGTGAGTAAGGCATTGGAGAATGCAGTGTCTAAACCAATGGTGAGATATGGAGGGAATCCGGACTCTGACCAGTGGAATGTGAAAAAACAATCCTCCAGGCTTGGTGGATGACGAGGACTTTGACCCTGAAAGACCGCAATTGGATGAAACGTTTATTAGTTCTGACATATGAAGATCAGATTGATCATGCTTGTAAATACATTTATCCTAAGGGTGAAAAAATGTAGTCAAAGGGTGGATTGATAGAGGATTTATGATTATGACTAAAATTGTTCACCCCAATACTGATGATGACTGTGTGAACTGTGTTAGGGTTATCATTATAAACCCACTAACAGAGGGGGTGAGTTAGAAACTGCTGAGACAAACATTCCAGGATGAAGGGGACTGAGAAACTGGTTAAAGGCCGCCTAAAGGTGGGCGGAGCAAAGTTCCTTTGTGTGAAGCATATATAAAGGCTGGTTATGTGTTTTGGCGGGAGAGCTCTCCATGATTAAACATACAGATCATTCTTGCTGGTTGTGGACCTTGAATTATTCATGATTAAAACCAGAGCCTTACAACCGCTGGTAATGATTCAAGCTTAGGTTTAATTTGAGATTCAAATTCTTGTGACAGTAGTGTCTCTCGATATCCTTCTTCTAGTGACGCACCAAAGGGGCAGGGCAGATGATCAGAGTGCCCTGAGATACCACCAGGCTAGAGTCTGCAACACAATACCGAATTCAACAAAAATGTAACTACCGTAAAACTTTAATTAAATGCTGTCTCAAATAGCCGCCTGACCCTTTTAATTAATAGCCGGGCAACGGCACACAATTCAGCAAATAAACGGCTGTTTCAAATAAACGCCGGGTCTAAATGAATTGTTTACAATTTTGTTGCCATGAATGACCATTAATTGTTTACGAGTTTTAATGTTTGATAAAAAAATAAAAATAAAATAATAATCAGTAATGACTCCAAAAAATTATGCCAATCATTAATTTTTTTATCGGCAATTTAAAAATGCTAGCCTTTGGTAACTGCTAGCCAACTGGAAAGCACAAAAACAGCAACTTTGGGAGTACAGACCCCCAGAAAGTGCTTGATCGCCCTCTAGTGGTGAAAATAAGAACTGCCATAAAAGCACAGTCAAAGAGAATAAGAATTATTCTGTCAAGGAAAAGTAGTTTTTTTCCTAAATACTAAGACAAAAGAAACATGACAGTGTGTAAATGATAACACAGTGCAGGAAATTAAGAAATTGATTAAAATGCTGGAAGTGAATGCTGGAATTAAACAATTAACTATGCAAATGAGCGAAACCTGTGTGCATTAAGGAAATCGACGCCTGGCTCAAATAAAAGCCTGTCTCTAATAAGCGCATGTGTTCAGTGATTAGAATAAACACCTGGGCTATTAATTGAAGTTTTACAGTAATTAGTTTGTGGTTGATTTGTGTTGAATTACATACTGGCATACAGCATCTTTCTCTTCCCCCGCCTCCTCCTTTTTCTTCTTTTCTGGGCCAGAATAAGAGCAATCATAGTAAGGGTCTTCCCCAGGCCCATGTCATCTGCTGAGGAGAGAAATGTTGATAGTGTTTTTTGAACTCCTTATAAAACCCCTGGGGCTACTGCAATCTAAGCAACTACACAGAGAGGCTGGTTGACCTTACCCAGGATTCCTCCACAGGGTTTCTGGGTCTCTCTCCACAGCAGCCAGGCCAGGGCTTGTCTCTGATGGGCCAATAGAGGCACCTGACCAACCACAACATCGCATTAGATTAGGGTACCATACCCATAGACAGCAGTGTGTACAATATGAGGTTTAGAAAGGTTGAGGCATTGAGTAGTGTACAAGGAGGTATTGTCTTGATGCCTTTGGGGTCCATAGTCTCAGCATCAGGGTTGGGGCAGGACTCCAGGGAGCTGCGGAGGTGGTCGATGGCCTCAGAGGTGGCTTTCTTCACCATTAGCAGATGGTTCTCTGTCATCCTGCCTCCATAGAACGCCTGGGTTTGGGGATTCACTGGACAGATAGGGACAGGCAGAAGATTAACTGACGAAGAATGGAGATCTGACTATATCTGACTACTGAAGGGATTCATGAGACACTTCCCAAATGAGAAATTGTGTCTTCCAGGGACCCAAGTTTATAAAATAGTTAAACTGTTAGCTCAATGAGAAATGCAAAATATGACTGGAAAGGGGAGAGACATATGCTAGAACAGGGTTCTTCAATTCCGGTCCTGGAGGGCCGAAACACTTCTGTTTTTTATTTCTACCTGGTAGTTAATTGCACTCACCTTGTGTCCCAGGTCTGAATGAGCCCCTGATTAGAAGGAGAGGATGAAAAACAGAGGTGTTTCGGCCCTCCAGGACCGGATTTGAAGAACCCTGTGCTAGAATATCAAGTTTGTGTGTAGCCCTGTTCCATACCTCCATACATCTGAGGCCTGGTACTGGAGGAGGGCAGGAGGACGGTGCCCCCTGGGCGGCTGAATGGGTTGTAATGGCTGGGAGCGGGCATCAGCTTGGCATCACCCTCACCACCCTGGGGCTCTGAAACAGACCTTTCAAACACAAAATATTCAGTTGAGTGTGTGCTTGAAGTTCTCTCTTTACAATGACATTACAGTAGAAAATGTTGCGGTTAGCCAAATAGTCCAGTATTTAGCAAGGGTCTTACCTGGCTCAGTGGAAGTGGTGAGACACAGAGACTCCAGTGCATCCTTCAGAAATGCATTTGAACTTCTTGAACTTGAAACTTGAAATGCATTTGAACTTCTTTGAACTTCTACTTCCTGGTCATGGATTGGAATGAAGAAGTGGATATTATTGCCAAGCAGGCTCTTAAACATCCTAATGTTGACATAAAATTGTCAAGCAGTAAAGCAGAAGCCAAGGGATTAATAAGAACAGTGATTAAAAATAAGTGGCAAGAGAGCGATTGTTATTAGATTTGAGGAGTAATGGGGTTGAAGAGCCAGGATTAAGTGAACTGCTGGGGAAATCTTCAGGGGATGTAGTATTTCATTATGTATTTCGTTTCCTTAGGGAGACGAGATTATTGGGTAGGATTTAGACCTTCACTGTCGCTGGTCCACACTCCAGTCCAGTTGGTGGCGGTAATGCACCTTAAAGTTGGTTGCCAACCGCGATATAAAACCCATAGAAGAAGAAGCCCTATTTTTCTCTCTCGCGGGCTTTGTTTTGGGATAGCGGTATATTTCGAAACTCTCATTTGTTGTCTTCAAACACTGAAAATACCTTGAATACGTAAACTCGTTGTCTGTAAACAAGGTACGTTATGTATGTTAGCTATGTATCTATAATTATAATATGAAAGCACAACTTTTGTCTTACTTGCCTGCCATGGTAAAACTTTGTTGCAAGCTTGCGGCTAGCTAACGTTAGCTAGCCAAACCAAGGCGTTGTCAATGCAGTGCCAGGTAACGTTAACCTGCTAACGAAGCTGCTGTAAGTAGTTTAACACTATAAACCATATGTCATTGTACTAACTAGTTACAGGTACTTTACTATTCAGGGATGTACCACTTCTTGCGACTAACGTTACTGTGTAAATTGTCTTGATGTGGAAATGCACTGTTAGCAAACTACAGTACAGGTATTAAGCTGTTGCTAACAACTGTCCTTTTAAACTGTAATTTTCTGTAGGTAAAGCCTAACCACAATGTGACATGTAGTATAATTAGCTAAATTAGGTAACCAGCCACTTGATCTTGCATGCTGAATGGAGCACACCTTCTTACTCTTGACCTGTCTCTAAAATCTGCTCTAATCTCGGATTAGCCCTGTCTGGAGAGCAAGTCATGTCATCTCCAGCTGGGTTGCAGGCTCAGCAGTCCCAAACAAACTTCCTTGCCCGATGGATGCCGAGCAGCTCCCGTGCCGGGGTTATCTTGAACGCCTCCCAGGACCTGGCTGAGTCTCTTCGACACAGCTCTGTCTGGAGGTCCCGGGACGTGAATGACTCCTTTGCCTCTCAGTTTGTTCCCCTCCCGGTCTCCAGTAGTAGCAGTTGCCTCAGTGTCAGTTCCCTCGTCCATTATGCTGAGCCCGGGACAGAATTGAGCAAACAACAGAATCAGCGACCGGGGGATAGGACTTTGTCTGACAGACAATTTGCTGGACTGCATACAGTGTCTCAAGGGTTGACATTACCTGGAGAGATGGACAGTATGGAGAAGTTTGTAGAGCAGTCTCAGGACCTACCCCTAATGCTCAAACTTGAACAGGTAAGAAAACAGTATTGAATGGGTTCATAAAATATTTGAGATTCATGATGACTGTTTGGAATGGCTTGTCACTTCCAGATAGGTAGGCCTACGTCTAGTGTTGTAGCGGTGCTTATGGGTACTGTATGTGCTGTGTGTACAGCTGAGGCAGTGGCAGCAGCACATGCAGGAGCAGCTGAAAGCCCACCAGCTGGAGGAACTCGTCCATCTCCAGGAGGAGCAACAAAGGTTACTGGGCATGGTGCATGTGGCTCAGCAGAATGGGGCAGGTACTGAAATCACACTCAGTGTTATTGCCGTATTATTGCTGTGTTATTACTCAGCAGGCTGGATGGAGCAGGTACAGTGAGGGGAAAAAAGTATTTGATCCCCTGCTGATTTTGTACGTTTGCCCACTGACAAAGAAATGATCAGTCTATAATTTTAATGTTAGGTTTATTTGAATAGTGAGAGACAGAATAACAACAAAAAAATCCAGAAAGACGCATGTCAAAAATGTTTAATGGATTTGCATTTTAATGAGGGAAATAAGTATTTGACCCCTCCGCAAAACATGACTTAGTACTTGGTGGCAAAACCCTTGTTGGCAATCACAGAGGTCAGACGTTTCTTGTAGTTGGCCACCAGGTTTGCACACATCTCAGGAGGGATTTTGTCCCACTCCTCATTGCAGATCTTCTCCAAGTCATTAAGGTTTCGAGCCTGACGTTTGGCAACTCGAACCTTCAGCTCCCTCCACAGATTTTCTATGGGATTAAGGTCTGGAGACTGGCTAGGCCCAGTGTTTTGGGTCATTGTCATGCTGGAATACCCATCCAGGACCCATTTTCAATGCCCTGGCTGAAGGAAGGAGGTTCTCACCCAAGATTTGACGGTACATGGCGCCGTCCATCGTCCCTTTGATGCAGTGAAGTTGTCCTGTCCCCTTAGCAGAAAAACACCCCCAAAGCATTATGTTTCCACCTCCATGTTTGACGGTGGGGAAGGTGTTCTTGGGGTCATAGGCAGCATTCCTCCTCCTCCAAACACGGCGAGTTGAGTTGATGCCAAAGAGCTCGATTTTGGTCTCATCTGACCACAACACTTTCACCCAGTTTTCCTCTGAATCATTCAGATGTTCATTGGCAAACTTCAGATGGGCCTGTATATGTGCTTTCTTGAGCAGGGGGACCTTGCGGGCGCTGCAGGATTTCAGTCCTTCACGGCGTAGTGTGTTACCAATTGTTTTCTTGGTGACTATGGTCCCAGCTGCCTTGAGATCATTGACAAGATCCTCCTGTGTAGTTCTGGGCTGATTCCTCACAGTTCTCATGATTATTGCAACTCCACGAGGTGAGATCTTGCATGGAGCCCCAGGCCGAGGGAGATTGACAGTTCTTTTGTGTTTCTTCCATTTGCGAATAATCGCACCAACTGTTGTCACCTTCTCACCAAGCTGCTTGGCGATGGTCTTGTAGCCAATTCCAGCCTTGTGTAGGTCTAGAATCTTGTCCCTGACATCCTTGGAGAGCTCTTTGGTCTTGGCCATGGTGGAGAGTTTGGAATCTGATTGATTTCTTCTTTGGACAGGTGTCTTTTATACAGGTAACAAGCTGAGATTAGGAGCACTCCCTTTAAGAGTGTGCTCCTAATCTCAGCTCGTTACCTGTATAAAAGACACCTGGGATCCAGAAATCTTTCTGATTGAGAGGGGGTCAAATACTTATTTCCCTCATTAAAATGCAAATCAATTTATATCATTTTTGACATGCGTTTATCTGGGTTTTGTTGTTGTTATTCTGTCCCTCACGGTTCAAATAAACCTACCATTAAAATTATAGACTGATCATTTATTTGTCAGTGGGCAAACGTACAAAATCAGCAGGGGATCAAATACTTTTTTCCCCTCACTGTAGCTACAGTTATTGAATTTGACACCTCTGATTTAGACAAGACTGTGATTTCTCACAGATTACATAGAGACCTCCAGGTTGACGGGAGCAGACTGGGGAGAGAACACTCTACTGGGGGGCTCCCCCCTCTCTCACAGACCCCCAGCAGCCAAGAGCTTCCCTATAGGCCCCCCACAAGGGCCTGCGTCTTCCCAGCTCTGTAGACAGGGGCCTACATTCCGGCAGCCGCCAAGGGGCCAGGAGCAGGAAGTGGAGGAACAGGACCAAAAACTGGGTAGGAAAAGTGCTCCGGTGCCTAAAAGCATTTAAAAGTGCTTTTACATGAGGATGGACTTAACCTCTGTTGTACTCAAACAGGGACAGAAGCATGGAGCAATCCACACAAACATCATCAGCTGAGTGGAGATGCTGATCATAGGGGTGGTGATGAGGAGGATGAGGAAGTCACGTTATCTCCCCATTCTGATCCCTCTATGACTGCAGACCGCAAAGCATACAGAGGAGATGACTGTGAACTAGACTCACAGGACAGGTAAATGTTTAACTTCATATTTGAGATGGAAATGTCTAACATGATTTATTTCACTATTCTTAGTCAACTGACAGCACAGAATACAAAGAAATGATTTGGCTGTGTGCTCCCGTGTCTCTATGGTCGTCTCTAGGCCCATTAAACCAGGGATAAGGGGGCAGAAGCAGACGTTTGAGGCGCTCCTGGAGGAACAGCTGAGGCTGGAGGAGCAGAGACTGAAGACCACCCAGCAGCAGCAGGTCAGAGACAAACCCTATTGTCACTACACTAAATATGGGCTGTGGATAAACTAAAATGGTAGCTCACCCAAATGACAAGTTTTGAGGTTGATTTAGGTATGGTGGTCTTTGGAGCTACAGGACCATTCCATTTGTTTTGCATGGAACATTGCTAATGCTAAGCTGTCTCTCCAACAGAGCCCTGAGGCAGCTGAGGGAGCCAGTCCGAGAGCTAATACCAAGAGAGCCTTCCTGAGGCGAGGGGAGGGCCTCTCCAGATTCACCAACCGAAGCAAAGCCCCTCTGCCCAACAGAGGGAGACCCCAAAAAGATCCCAAACCCCAGGCCAAGGTCAGCACCCGTTGGACCTCAGAGCCCACCCAGAAGGTCAGTCAGCGCCCACCCGTACAGCGCAAGACTGCTGTGCTCAACAAGGAGAACAGACCAAGAGACCCGTGCTCACCACTCCTGGACAGTGTCAGACCAGAGGGCAAGGCAGCCAAGCCGGCCGCAGTGAGACCCAGAGTCCTGGGCAGTCACCAGAGACAGAACGTGGAGATGACTAACTGTCTAAGGCCAAGGGAGGTGATTAGTAACAAGGTGGGTGGGACTTCTCAGCCTGTGAGTAGAACTCCTGCAGCTGTAACTAAACAGTTTGGGCTTGAAGAGAGGACTGGAGCCCTGCAGAGGAATGGAAGTGGTCCATTGAGACCGGATAGAGCAGCAGAGGGAAATTCGGGTGTTCCGGAGTATTCCTTTGAGCTGTCGTTCCAGGAGAAGCTGCAGCACTGGGACTGTGACCGTCAGAAGGAGAGTGTGGAGCTGGGGGAGTTTGAGCTGCTGGAGCAGGCAGCCGAGGAACTCTCCTTCTCCTCTAACTCATCCTTCGTCATGAAGGTTTGTAATGTATTTTTATAATGAATGGCTTAACATTTTATGTATGTTTCACATACACTCGGTGGCCAATTTATTAGGTACCGGGTGGACACCCCCTTGTCTCCAGAACAGGCTGAATTCTTCGTGGCATGGAAACGTTGCTCAATTGGTATCAAGGGACCTAACGTGTGCCAGGAAAACATTCCCCAGACCATTATACCACCAGCCTGTACCGTGGACACCAGGCAGGATGGGGCCATAGACTCATGCTGCTTACGCCAAATCCTGACTCGGCGATTGTTTTTCCACTCCTCAATTCTTGTTTTTCTTCTTGTTTTTAGCTGATAGGAGTGGAACCTGGTGTGGTCATCTGCTGCAATAGCCCATCCGTGTCAAGGACAGACGAGTTGTGTGTTCTGAGATGCCGTTCTGCACACTGTTATACGGCGCCGTTATTTGCCTGTTTGTGGCCCGCCTGTTAGGTTGCACGATTCTTGCCATTCTCCTTCGACCTCTCATCAACGAGCTGTTTTCGCCCACAGGACTGCCGTTGACTGGATGTTTTGTTTGTCGCACCATTCTCTGTAAACCCTAGACACTGTGGTGCGTGAAAAACACAAGAGGCCGGCTGTTTCTGAGATACTGGAACTAGCATGCCTGGCACCGACGATCATACCACAACGCTCAAAGTCGCTTAAGTCACTTGTTTTGCCCATTCTAGTTCAATCGAACAGTAACTGAATGTCTGTCAGCCTGTTTTATATTCACTGACTCACTGTCTGTAGGAGCGAACAATTTCCGTGAACAGGGTAGTGTACCTAATAAACTGGCCCAGTGTTTCGTGGAGCGGAGTTGAAGGGGGGAGGGGGTCCCTCCTATAATTTTTATGTAGAAGGACTGAGAAGCTCAGTTCTGGTGACTGTTTTTAAAAGGACATTCTACTCCAAAATGAATGAAAATAAAAGTATGCTGACTGACACCATCTAAAATATATTTTTCACCTCCAGAATGAGCCCAATAACACATTTGTAAAATTATTTGAACATATTGGGCCATGTATATAGCCTATGCATGGTCCATGTTATCAGGTATTCTATTAGCATGAAACATTATTACCTGTAGCCCAACAGATGCAGCAGTGCAAATAAATAGGCTGAAGCATGGGTTGCCTATCTGCATTTACCCTATTGGGCTGATCATTAGTCAGATCCCAAATGTGATCTTTTAACTAGTTGTTATCCTATTGATGAATTTGATGTCCCAAAAAACATGCATAAACACAGTGAATATAATGTAGGCCTACCTGTTAAGGTAACTTGCCACCCGGTGTAATACGCCCCCTGCCTGTACTTCTCACAGAAACTTAATGTCACCATTCCCCCCCCAACATTTTCCCTTGTTGCCACTACTCAACTAAAAATATTACGTCTCACCGGTGTTACTATAGGCCCACTCTCCCCTATGCACTCACTGCTAGTTGCAGAGCGGTAACATGCTTAACCATGCCACTGCTAAAAACTCTGGGTTAAAAATTGTGTTTATTATGGTGTTGTCTGATTTTTCTATAAATTACTTGTTTTGTTTGCAGAGAAAGTAAATGTGGACTGTTCTAGCATCTTCAAAGTGCACCTCAGCAGAAATATTTTTCATATTTTTTTGCCTGGTGTCAACAATTTTACCGTGGCGCAGCGCCACAGCAAAATGAGTGCAGCGCAAACACTGAACTAGCCACTGAGCCTATCTACACTGTTGCTTAATAAATGTAAACCTACAGGTGCTGCAGCTGGACCAGCAACACCCCCTTCAGGGCAGCAGGGGGCGCCACCCGCGACGCCTCTCCTCCACGCCCATCAAATCCCCCTCGCCGCCTAAAGGGGTTCACAGCGGGGGCACCAGTAGAAGTGGCCAAGGCACAGGGACCAGCTCATCTGAATCACCAGGAGTATCTGCTGTGAGGGCAAAGGAGGTTGTGATGAGGGAAAACAGCAAAGCCACTGAGGATGATGAGGAGGAGGAGGAAGATAAAGTGAGCGACGTCAAACAACATGAGGAAATCGCTGACGTCTTGTTCCGCAGTAGCTCTGAATTCGGGGATCGGGAGGAAGTAGCCCGACCATCATACCAGACTACCTTTTCCAGCAACCTCTGGGAAAACCCGCTCCCTGCATCCAACCCTCCATACGACAAGAGGTCATATCAGGACAGAGAGGGTGGCTCAGGCCAGGCAGAGGAGGGCAGGGAGAGTGACATTGACGACTCCACCCTATTGGAGGACAGAGAAGAGGGGGACCACGAGGGTCTGTTGGTGTTTGATGATGACGACACCTGGAACGACCTGGAGGAGGCTGGCAGCATCGTTGAGGATGACAGCAGAACAAGAGGCGCTGCTACAGGAAACCGACACACTCCCACAGCAACAGTGAATGACATTTCACCCCCAGAGAGGACACTGAAGAGAAAGGTGGCTGTGGCCAAAGGGACGGAGCTGGAGAGGGTGTCTGTTATCACAGCAGCCAACCAGGAGCCAGATCCTCCTCCCGCTTCCCAGCTCATGGCCAGGCTGTTCCCCTCGCTAAAGCCCAAAACCCAGGCCTCTCCCCCACCTCAACCAGAGCCTAGGAAGACTGAGGACGGATCAGGTGAGACACAGTGCATACACTCTTAACTCATTGGAGTACGTCAACAGCAGGGCTCTGACTTTTTTTCCCTTCCAAAGTTGGTAGCACCAGCATAAAACTCTTTGTTTCGTGTGTGGTCAGGCCAGCAGCAGCAGTCCAGGCAGCTGAGGGAGAGGCTGCTGGAGCTGGAGCTGGAGATTGAACGTTTCAGGACAGAGAATGCTGCCTTGGCCAGACTCAGACAGGAGAACGAGAAGAACCAGGAGAAACTCGGGTAACAAACATTTAGTCTGAACTGGAATGGGCAGGGTTTCCCTCAATAGACGGATTGCCTGACAACGTCACAAAAACAATGCGCGCGCACCGCAGAGGCAGAACGCTATGTGGTTTTATGATTATGGAACAATGACAAGAAGCTGCCATGTGGGGAATCGTAGGTGGCTCATTTCGCCTCGTTGCATCTTATTGATACAATGTCTTGTTTTGAGGTGCTTTGACTCATAATAATAAAATAATAATAATATGCCATTTAGCAGACGCTTTTATCCAAAGCGACTTACAGTCATGCGTGCATACATTTTTGTGTATGGGTGGTCCCGGGGATCGAACCCACTACCTTGGCGTTACAAGCGCCGTGCTCTACCAGCTGAGCTACAGAGGACCACGTCGTGCTAAAAATCGCTAGCTAGCTAACCTACAACTGTAATGTTGAGAGACAAATGATCAGTGTGCAAATGTATTTACGTTTTCAATAAACATTTGGAGTGGTGTTTTGTGCTCGTGCACATAATTACATTACCCAACCTCCCCCAGTAAAACGAATCCCATCCAAATAGGGCTTTAGCCAACCTTGTCTCTTTTGCCCCAAGGCGTTTTGTTGCTAAACAACCCACCCGTCTATGGTTTTCTACAATATTAAATTGATTAATCTTGGGTATAAAAGTGTCTGACATAGATTGTCTCTATTCCAGGAAGGAGAGGGCAGAGTTTGAGCAGCGGAAGGCTGAGGAGCTGGCCAGGTTTGAGGAGTTCAAGAGGGAGGAGACCAAGAAGCTGCAGAAGGAACGCAAGGTGTTTGAGAAGCACGCCTCCGCCGCCAGAGCCATACCAGACAAGAGGGAGCGCGACGAGATCCAGGTGAGAGACACTTTTCCCCCTTTATTTTGAAGAGGTCTTATAACCCCCATTGACCCTGCCACCGTCGCCCTCAGGCCATGAAGAAGCAGCTGAGTTCCCTGCAGGAGGAATTGAAGCGGAGAGAGAGCCGCTGGTCCACCACACACAGCCGTCTCCGGCAGCAGATAGACTCCCTGAGCTCAGACAACAGTGACCTGAGAGACGAGGTCCGCACCCTGGAGAAACTACGCCTCAGCACCTGGGGGAAGATTGGGACAGACAGCGAAAGAGAGAAAGGCAGGAGAGAGGAGAGAGAGAGGGAGGGACCCAGGCCGTTGGACAGTTACATTGCTCTTGAAGCCAGGTGCCTCAAATTGGCAGTGAGTTTAGATTCATTACTACCACCACCATCTTGTGATTTTCCCGTTTTAGTCTCTGTGTTCTGATGGTCGTTAAATTCTCTGTCCTGTGCTGGACTCCGGATGACAACCCTAACGCAGTGTGTATTTGTTTGTTCAGAGTCCTCCTGACACGGTGAGGAGCAGCATTTCCTCAAAAGGCAGCCCATCAGGACACAGCCCCTCCACTCAAGGTACAAGGAAGGTAGCTGCAATATGGACTGATCATGATATTTACAATGGACTATTTAGTATTCAGTTATAGGTGGAGGTATTGTTCTACATTGTCTGTCTTTAACAGGAGGTATCAGGGGCATCCTGAAGAGGTCAGGCCCTACACTAGCACCCAGCCCCGCTCACAGTTACAGTTCAGAGGATAGACCAGCATCTTTGACCAGCAGCCACCACCCAGCACAGAGCCACGACCACTCACACAACCTGTCCCCTGTGAGTTAGGATGATACACCCTTCATCTGACATAAATCATTGGCGTTTTTGATTATTTAATGAAAGCACTGCCACAGCATAGCTCAACACTGCTATGCACCTATAGAATTACATATTAGTAATTTAATAGGATCTGTGTATATACCACCTTTGTTGTGGAGTGCTGCTGTGGTGTTTGAATGCACGGTCTGGCTTTACCCACAGAGGGCTCGAGGTCTGCAGACTGAGACAACCGAGGTCAAAGACCAACAAGAGCCAGGTCAGGATGTCATCACCCACACTGATGGAAAGGTGAGAAGAAGGATTGGGAGGAAATTCTGTGAAAATACTTTTGAATTCAGTTTGTCACGCAAAGCAGGTATTGTCTTGCTAATAGATTATATTATTGGATTTATGTAGTGCTTTTTCAGGAGCTCAGTGCTTTCCATTGACTTGGGTATGTGTTCTTGTCTTAGATGGAGAGGGTTCTGGCCTGTGGAGGGAGACTCATCATCTTTCCCAATGGGACCAGGAAGGAGGTGTCAGCGGACGGACAGACAGCCAAAGTCACCTTCTTCAACGGGGACATCAAGCAGGTCATGGCTGACCAGAGAGTGGTAAGTCATTGACAGTGACCCTTCCCTGGCCTTAGTGCAACACCTTTTCATATTCAGTGGTGTAAATTGTATATTAGACTTGCATGAATCCCAGATCTATGTGTAAGTATCTCAACTAATATGGTCCTCTTACAGATCTACTACTATGCTGATGCTCAGACCACTCACACCACCTATCCTGACGGCATCGAGGTTCTGCAGTTCCCCAACAACCAGACTGGTGAGACTTTGATTGCATTTATTCGATAGTAACGTTGTTTTATTATTAAACTTAAAATTATCCCCTCTTCCACCACTGTTCTGACCCAAAACGTGTATAAGTCCTAATTTCCTTCTGCAGAGAAGCATTTCCCGGATGGCCGTAAGGAGATCACATTCCCTGACCAGACAGTCAAAAACCTGTATCCAGATGGGAGGGAAGAGAGTGTGCTCACTGACGGGACCATCATCCAAGTTAACTTGTATGTCCACGGAGCTCAAACCCCTGTGTATCTATCTAAATGTCACCTACACTAACTCTAGCATGCATCTGATCATTTAAAAGGTCTTGATGAGGAGTTCCAAATCTTTGCCTTTTTCGTGAAGTCAGTGGTTTTGTTTGGGTATCTTTCACCACTGTCCTTATGTTCTCCTCCAGGGATGGCAGTAAGGCGATCCAGTTCAACACAGGCCAGAAGGAGGTCCACACAGCCGACTATAAGAGGAGGGAGTACCCAGATGGCACTTTGAAGACGGTCTATACAGATGGCAGACAGGAGACCCGCTACCCCACCGGACGCCTCAGAGTTAAAGACAAGCATGGAAACATTGTCATAGACAACAGGCCCTAGGATTGTTTATGAAATATGAGATATCGTCATGGGAACTAAGGCTGAAGCACCTTTGAACATTTCTGTTGGTGAGAGTTGTTTGACAAATAGGTTTTTAGTGTGTTTGAGTTGAATGTAGTGTGTGACTATTTTATTTGTAAAAATGTCAAATTCATATTTATTTTCTTAGTTGATTGTACATTCTTTTGTAAAATAAATGTTTATCAAATCACTTGGTGTGCACATTCAGGTATTGTTTTAAGAGTAAGAAACATTGAAGCAGTTTAAAATTAAACTTCAGACAGTACTTCAGATGTAAAATATTTAGAAAATAAAGTGCTCAGCCCATGAGGCTTCTTTACAGATTCTGCAAAAAAAAAACTGAACTTAAAATAAAATGTTGAATCACAAAGTACTTAAATCTTTCAGGCAGCATAATCTCAATGCACAACAAACATTAAACTGAAGAACGTGTCCACATCACAGGAGGGGTCAAAGCAGAGAGAAGTACTAGATATCATATGCAGATTACAGAAAGGCTTGACCAAACTGAGCAGTGTTAACATATGTTAAACTTTCTTTGAAAAGCACTCCTGAGTGAGATTCAAACCCACCTTTTGACATTTGCTGTAGTGTCAGTCAGCCAGTCCTTTCTAATTAGAGGCAGGCAGACCAGAGCTCCATCCCCATCATACAGGAACACAGCCAGCTCCAGTTCAGTGGCCTAAGACAACACCATTATCATTAACTACACATGCTTCATTAATCACCATTATGATGATTGGCTGAGATGGCTAACCGGACAATGACCTAATTGGTATGTGAACGGTATATGGTGAATAACCACAATACATAGAGATTTCTGCTGCCATCGCCCTGGTTGTGCAAAGACCAATGTTGCCAGTGACAGTGCATGCAAATAATCCACTACCATAACTACACAGTGTCATTGTGTATCCAGCTTGTTATGATTGACACTGATATGACGGTGGTAACTAAGGCAGATGTTGCTCACGGTAACGGATGCAGTGCAGCAGGGCCGATCATCTCCAGGGCAGCTTCTCCAGTTTGGGGGGGGGGGGGGGGGGGTCTGAAGCCCACCACTCGCACCTTGATGGCCTTACAAGGGAACTGATGGGCCGGGTTTTACTTTTGCGTATTTGTTTCGTAATGGTTGAGTTTGTGAAAACGGACTAAAGATTAATTGGAAGGGGGAAAAAAGCCACCCTATTCCTTCCCGTAACTCAAACTTTTGCATATCGATGGGATTGACTTATGCTCCAATCTTCAGTTATGATTGGGCCCACAGTGAGGTATGTGTGGGCAGGGTGTCGTCAGACCCAAAGACCACATGTCTGACCAGGACCTTGACAAGGTTCAGACCAGCGAAGCCCAACAGCTTGGCCTGGTAGTACTTCCCATCACTGTACTCTGGAGAGATGGAGACACAGGATCAACAAGTCAGCACATTACCACTACAACTAGCAGTGTTCTCTTGTTATAAGTCCCTGTCACAAGACCCTATGAAAATGTTGTCGTAAAAGCATTAAGGGTTAGGTGTGAAGTTTAATCCATGGATAGTGCTGTTGCTAGTGTTTTGGTTTACCAATGGTGAAGTCCGAGAACATGGCCAAACGGTCCATCCTGTCAAGGACTCTTCAGAGCTTCCTCCAGACTCTCCCCACTACTGCCCTCTAGAGGGTACAGGAACACCAACACACACAGTAGAGAAAAATGTCACACAAAGGCACAAAAAATAATTTCAGATTTAAGGTAGGCTAGGGATAGTACCTCGTTAGGGGTTCGGAGGTGTTTGATCTGGACCCGGAAGAGTTCTCCTTTCTCAGGCAGGTCAGGGTAGGAGAACACCCTCAGTACTGGCTTTGGGTCATCCAACCCCTGGACACAGGACAAGACAGCACAGCAGTGGGAATGACTGACTATCTCACACTCAATAAATACATGTAATTGGCAGTATATATGGCAGTGTGCATACTGGCAATTTTAAACTATATCTTACATGCAGATGGCACTGTGAATAACAAACGTACCTCTTTGTCAATCTCCCAGTCCTCTAGATCTAGGTGAGATGACACCAGCTCCTTAGAAGAATCACAGATGGATTTAGACAATAGTGTTGGTTCAATGACTATTAGAAGAAAAAGAGGAAGGATTAAAACCAGGGTAATGTTAAAACAACATACCCAACCCTCACTCCTGCAACAACATGGTCTACAGAGCCATGTTGGTGGTGAACCATGATCCTGCTGAGCATCATCCCATCCAGAGAGTCCCAGGAATGCAAACTAGTAACCTTTCGGCGGAATTCGCTCTTTTAAATCCAAAATAGGTAACCTACGTGACTTGTGTAGATCAGATGAGCAACAGTTTTTTTTGGGGTGGGGGGGGGGGGCTTGTCTAATATGCGAGTTTGGGTCATTACTGTCTGTAAGCGAACAAGTGATGCACGCGTGGAGCAATACTGTCTGTATCCAAGGCTCGAGCCTGGCTCAGCCAGTCGTTCACATAACAACAGAATGCAGCACGCGAGTGGAGAGAAGAGACAACCAACTTGCTACTTACAGCATCAGAGTGGAAAGGCAGTTTGCCAGTTAGAGCAGCAGCGCGTCCCCTGAACGACAACGAAGATGTAGGTGAGAAGCCTGGAGACGGAGGTGAGAATGTGATGAAGCGTACTTCATGAGCTGTAACCGGCTTGGGAGGGGTAGAGACTAACCGGTCAGAGGAGGGGGTCTGGTTTTCTGGGTCAGGTGTCCCGTTTTGATGGCCCTTGGAGTCAGAGTTGGAGAACTCCTCTAGTTTAAGCATGGGGGACGCTCCATAGCACAGGACACGGGGACAGAGAGAGGGCAGATAAGTAGAGCCAGTAGATAGACATGGGTCCTAGGAAACATCTTCTACTCAACTGTAAACACAAACATACATCCACACAGAGTTCTGTTACTCACCGTGGCCTCCTCTCTTTCAGGGCGAAGTCCTCACTAACCAGGAAGTCTGCGATGCCGACGTCTTTCCCAGCCCGGTTGGAGACCGGCACCAGACGCTGCTCTGTGTTCTCTTAGAGAGGAGAGGAAAAGGTTAGTACAGAGAGACTCGTGTTAAATCATGGATGGTGAAATATGCGACAACACTCAACAGTGAGGTGACAGACTGTCAACAGTGTGGTGTGTGATGTGGCGTCACTTTGATGGTCATGATGGCCATGGCTCCTGTCGGGTATTAGGAGATTAATTCACGTTGTGGCTGTCCAGGTGGAGCGACTGCTCGCAGGTCTGAGAGGGCGAGACAGTGCAAGAGATAAATTGTTGTGTATGTTGTCATGTGAAATATAGATCAACAGCATCCAGACTAGACATACGTCTCTCCTCTACCTTTGCCCTGACTGACAGGTGGGAGGTCCTCCTGGATCTTCTTACTGTTCCTTTGGGCTCTCAGTGGCCTGCTGCAGCTCAGACAGGTGTGCTGGGATAACTACAACCAGGAACCAAGAAAAACCATTATTATTCTCTGGGTAATGGGATGCGGTTTACCTCAGCAGACTGCCATGCTCTCTACACCAGGGGTAGGCAACTAAATTCGGCCGCGGGCCGATATTTGTCCAAGCGGATGGTCGGGGGGCCAGAACATAATTATAATAATTTGTACATTGCAAATAGACCACAAGTAAACTCAAAAACAGATTGTATTTGAAAATGAATAATTTCATACCTTGATTACATTGAGACAATCACGTCTCTTTTTATTTGTAGGACTACTTGGGAACAGCTTTCCTGAATTAAAATCATTTTTAGCTGCATTTCTGGTGATTTTACAGCCTGTTTTTACCCAAAAATAAAATCCTAACAGTATATATATTTTAAAACTACAATCTTTTGGGGGGCCAAAAAAAACAAACACTTGTTACCGACCCCTGCTCCAAATGTTGCTGTGACATTGTCACTAACCTTTTTTGGATGAGGCTGTGGTGAGTTGATGGCTGGATTTTAAATTCCCTTTGTCTCCTCCTCCTTGTTCAATCTCCTCCATGATGACGTTGGGTCTGGAGTCTGAGATGGGTCTGGATCTGGGGAAGGGGCGAGGGCCAGAGCTGGGAGAGGGGCCCCGGGTAGGCGTAGTCATCCTCAAGCTTACCTGCTCCTGGAGAGGGGAACAGGCTCCCTGGTGCTGGATGGGGGAGGTCTCATCATTCCTGTTGGGCACTGCCTGCTGTTGGGGCCTCTCGCTCTCCTATGTGGACCGGCTCCTCTGTCAGACAGAGGAAGGTAGTAAATAAACCATGTAAAAAATAAATAAAAATAATAATATATCTGTTGTCAATTACAGGACTTACATCTTGGCATTCCCAATGTTGATCTTCAGACACACCTTCAGACTCCTAACCAGCTCATCTTGCTGAACTATACAGCTAACACACACACACACACACACACGCGCCTTAGGTCAGATGTGAGTTCAAACTACAGTAGCAGAGTTCAGGTCAGTCCACATAGCTATGGGCGTTCAAATTGTAATTCAGGTCAACTTTATTGACTCACCTCAGCCCAGAGACAGACCCTTCAGGTCAAACGACTGGACATACAGTCAGCAACTGTTCAACATAAACACACATCGTCTTCCTTGAAGTGCCACGACAACCAGGAGGTGCAGTTTAGAGCGTGTGCGTACCAGTTCCAGGTCACAGTAGCTCTTTAGGGAGGGGTGCTGTCCGACCTGCTTGGCCTTCTGCATGGCCGTGTCCAGGGCCCTCATCCTCGCCTCCACTCCGCCACCAGCGCCCCCTTCCTGACAATGCAGGAATTACACTTCACACATCAGGAAAAATAATAGCCATAGTAAGGAATGGGAACATCCACTCACTATTTGATCAGCCCTGATTAAAGCCATTATGGTCAAGCCCAATACACATTAAAGGGATACTTCGGTATTTTGGCAATGAGGCCCTTCATCTACTTCCCCAGATTCAGATGAATTAGTGGATACCATTTTTATGTCTCTGTCCAGTGTGAAGGAAGTTAAAGGTAGTTTTGCGAGCCAATGCTAACTAGCGTTAGCGCAATGACTAAGTCTATGGGGGATCTGCTAGCATGCACTGTGCCCAGTTTCGTGAGGTATGTGGCCTGTTCCTAATCTTGTTCCTGACCTGTACTGCACCTTCAGCATTCAAATGCTAAAATGGCTTGTGTGATATTAAGCTTTATTAGTTGAGTGACAACCTATGTAATTTGCTAGGTTATTGTTATCTATGCGATGTTGAATATTGTGTTCTTTTATTTATTTTTATTTTATTTCACCTTTATTTAACCAGGTAAGCCAGTTGAGAACAAGTTCTCATTTACAACTGCGACCTGGCCAAGATAAAGCAAAGCAGTGCGATAAAAACAACACAGAGTTACATATGGGGTAAAACAAAACAAAGTAAAAAATACAACAGAAAATATATATACAGTGTGTGCAAATGTAGCAAGTTATGGAGGTAAGGCAATAAATAGGCTATAGTGCAAAATAATTACAATTAGTATTAACACTGGAATGATAGATGTGCAAGAGATGATGTGCAAATAGAGAATACTGGAATAAAAGTAAGCTACAGGAGACAACTCATCTGGCTATACCTGCTGAACAGGGCTTACAATAGATTTTATTTTTATTGTTCAGGTTCACCATCAGCAATAGTTTGTCATTTTTAGATATACAGGGTTGATCATTTCTTAACGAGCAATCACTTTTGCCAGGCGCACTGCATGGCTGAAGCAAGAGGAGAGGATCTCTCCGTAAAAACATCAAAACCATTTGATTTTGTGATGGGGTGAAATCCAAAGTTGAGCTATATATATATATATATATATATATATATATATATATATATATATATATATAATAACTAATTTATAAACAATAAATATTGATACATTACTAGCTCAAACACTTCACTGCAAAAATGACAAGTTAATTAGTGGGTGATGGTGATTTCAGAACCAAAGTGGGGAGATAAAAACAAAAAAACAGGCTACACCCCCCCCAAATCTGATCTTGGTAGTGGGTGGTACAGTAGATGCCTA